TGCCGGGTCAGAAGTCCACCTTGGTTGTGAATACACATTTGATGGGAAATTATGAACAGAGGCTGGTCCTCCACATGTGGAGGGAAGATGTGTGCAACTGTTGCCCTGAAACTGTGCTTGAGAGTCAACTCGGCCCAACTGGACACAGACAGCGTTTGTCAGGTTACCAGGCAACCGTAAACAACAAATATGTGTGAGTCTGGGAGGAAGGGGTGGAAAAACCAGGCTTATTCTAAATATCCTTGTCACTTTTCATAACAAGAGCCCATCCCCAAGTGCTCTCGTGTCCTGGGCTGTTGTCAGCCCGAGTCTTGTGTCACCTTCCGTTGTGGCCAAGTGCTCTGGAGTCAGACTGCCCAAGTACACACTTGTGATTGGGGGTGATCTATACTCTCTGAGCCTCAGTTTGCCCATCTCTAAAATGGGGGTAATAACAGTTCCAATCTTTCAGAGGATTAAATGACTCAAGGTGGTCAAGTTCTTAGTACACAGCCTGATAGATAATAGTCAGCAAATACTACCTGATGTTATTCCCCCGTACTGTGCGTTTTCTCAGCAAGCCCCTCATAGGCCAAACTCTTGCAAGGAAACCTCCCTTTGGAGGCTACAGAGAGATCTTCAAACACACATGCCCCCAGTACTCTCCTGGGGTCTGCCCTGGAAGTCGGATACGAAGGGGCTGTCAGTTCAGCTGCCAGGCACACACCTCCTCTGAGCCCACCTACCCACCTACGTCTCTGGCCTTGGGCATCCTGGTGGGGGGCTTTTCCTCACTGGCTCCCCTCATGTGAGCAGATATCTCTGGTGTGGAGTTGGGCTCCCAAACAGCTGGCCTGTACACTCTGACCTCTTTCCTGCACCCCCCCCCTCCCCCCTCCTCCCAGCCCTTCCCAGCCTTCCATCTTTGCAGAGGTTTCAAATTGTCCAGGTAGCCACATCTAATCCATCTTTCCTGTTGGTTTTTAGAGAAGCAAGACCCTCCCTGGTTCTTTCCAAAAGCTGTTTGTTTCTCCTTCGGTCGTCAGCTCCTTCAGTTGTCTCTATCCCTGTCACCGTGTAGCCTTTCCCTAAAAAAAACTATCTTGGTGTCCAAGCAGCTCTCCTCAGGAAGGCAGCAGCAGCTGCTGAAGGGCTCTTACTGCTTCAGCGGAGTTCATGGCCCTGTGCAGTGTCTTCTGTTTTCTGTTCAGAGTGGGGGTTAGCATGTTATGGCAGTTGCCATCCAGCCATCAAAAGTTCCCACCATCTTCCCTTTAAGCATGCCAAAATTCTTAAAATTCCTTATGTTCTGGATGGACCTTGAGGGCATTATGCTAAGTGAAATAAGTCAGTCAAAGACAAATACTGTATGATCTCACTCATGTGGAATCCACAAAAGCTGAACTCACAGAAACTCACAGAGTAGATTGATGGTTACCAGGGGCTGAGGTGGGGAACCAGGGAGATGTTGGTCATAGGGTACCAATTTCTAGCAGTGAGATGAGTAAATCTGGGGGCTCTAACGTACAGCGTGGTGGCTAGAGTTAATAATACTGTAATATATACATGAAAGTTGCAGAGAGAGTAGACCTTAAATCTTCTCACAACAGCAACAACAAAATAGTAATTATGTGGGTGAAGGTTGTGGTAACTAACCTTATCGTGGTAAATAAATTATTTTGTGATCTATACGTGCATCAGATCACACTGTACACCTTAAACTTACACAATGTTATATGTCAGTTATATCTCAGTAAAGCTGAGAAAAAGGATTCCTCACGTTCTCTGTCTAAATAAATCTTTACTGAAGTATAATTCACATACCAGCTAATTCACCCATTTAAGGCATACAAGTCAGTGGCTTTGAGTGTCTTTATAGAGTTGTACATCCATCATCACAATCAATTTTAGAGCATTTTCACTACCACCCCCCCAAATGTCTTACCTTTCAGCTGTCACCCCTCAATTCCCCCATCCCACCTAGTCATCCCCTAGGAGACGACTCATCTACTTTCTGTCTCTATAGATTTGTCTCTTCTGGATATTTTATATAAATAGAGTCCATCACACAATATGTGGCCTTTTGTGTCTGGTTTCTTTCACTTAGCAGAACACATTCAAGGTGTGTCCCTGTTGTAGCTGTGCCAGTGCCTTCATTCCCTTCTATGGCTGGATGACATTCTATCGTATGACTGTCCCCTATTTTGTTTATTTCTCAGTTGATAGTCGTGTGGGTTGTTCCTTATGTTCTTTTTAACACATTGAGGCCCAGCTCTCTATTTGAGATTGCCTTTCAATTTCCAACCACTTTTATCATTTTTATCACAGTCCCAAATGACTTCTTGGTTTGCTTGTGAACGTAATCTCTGCTCAGACATTATGTTCTGAATACCCATAATAAAATTAAAGGTTGGTTCTGTTAAAAAAATTTCCAAGACCTGGCAGAAGAAAGGATTCAGCCCATACAGTTTTCTCTTTTCTTCTGTGTAATTATTTAGGCTTTAATGATTCACTCAGTTTAGATGAGTGTTCAAACTGGCTGAGAATAAAGTGAAGTTTTCCTCCAGGGAGAAGAATATTATGAGTGGAAAACAAAAATACCTTAGAATTTTAGCAGAGGGACACACCAGGCAAGCATGCTTTCTTTTTATGGGTCAGGTGGCACCAATAACACCCTTATTTAACCCTTTCCTTTTGGGATCTGATTTCTCCCAGGCGCGTTGTCTACCCAGGCCTCGTGTGTCACATGCAGAGATGATGCCAGTTAGGCCCAGGTGGAACTCTTAAGTTTACTAGATCTCTCTGAAGTTTCTCTAAGTGGTTTTCAGTTTTGCTAGTGTCGAGTGTGGAAATGAGGTCAGATGGAGTAAATGGGATTTGGTGGGTTAAATTGCAGGCCAGGATGCCATGCACTGGAACTGTTCAGCTTTGAATCTCACGTACTCAGGTTTGAACCTCCTGTGTGCTGGTGCTGAGCAAGGTTTCGCCAGGATTTGCGTTATTGGGTTTTCTGGTGCTGCCTGGGGACCTTGTGTGTCCCTCCCTTAGATGCCTGCCCTGAAGAATTCTTCCTTGAAAATCTCAGTGGCTTGGTAATTATGCCCATCCCTCCTGACTGCTGGATAAATTCACTTCTGGGATTTGAGGATGCATTTAAGGAGGACAAAGGCAAGTTAGCAGAGGCTGTAATGTAACAAGAGGGGAGGCAAAAGCATAATATATTTATACACCAAAATGATCACAAGACGAACATCAAAAGTTAATTCAATTTCCTCTCATATATTTGAAAGTTGCTAAGAGGGTAGATCTTAAAAGTTCTCATAACAAGGGAAAAAAATATTTGTGTGTGTGTGTTGATGGATGTGAACCAGACTTATCGTGGTGGTCATTTTGCAGTATACACAAATGTCAGTCATTATGCTGTACACCTGAAACTAATGTTATATGTCAATTGTATCTCAATTTTTAAAAATTTGAGATGAACTAATTTTAAAATGTCGTCTCTACTAAGGGGGCTCTTTGATTCTCTCCCTCCAACTTTGTGTGGAAATGGGAAAAACCTTAGGCTTTAGAATTAGTAGATCTTGTGGCTCTTGGGCACATCACTTCCCATCTCTGAGCTTACGTCATAAGGATGATACCTTCCAGCCTACAAGTGGGTTCATGTGAGATCAAATGGGATCACTTATGCATAACACCCAGGACAGAATAGATGCTCAACAGCAGCTACTTTTCAAGCGCTTCTCCCCCAAATGATTTTTTTTTTTTTACCCTCATTCATACCCAGGTTTTTTTTTTTTTTTTTTTGCGGTACACAGGCCTCTCACTGCTGTGGCCTCTCCCATTGCGGAGCACAGGCTCCGGACGTGCAGGCTCAGCGGCCATGAGTCACGGGCCCAGCCGCTCCGCGGCATGCGGGATCCTCCCAGACCAGGGCACGAACCCGCGTCCCCTGCATCGGCAGGCGGACTCTCAACCACTGCGCCACCAGGGAAGCTCCCATACCCAGGTTTTAAGAGGAACAGTTTGTAAGGAAGCCCTCTTCCCACAGGATGGCGCCGCTACCTCTCTGTGCTTGAGGGAGACCATCTTTGTCTGCCTTGAGTACCTCGGGCCCGGCAAACATTTGATAGACTTTGCTCATGTTCGGATTTAATAAATCTCAAGAACAGTACAGCCTTTAAAATGAAGTCCATTCTCCCAATGGGGGGAGGAAACTTTTGCAGTGATTATTGGTTTTCATTTACATCCTAATGTTTGAGGATGGGAGCCATAAACTGAAGAGCCAGAAGTAGATACCAGCAACTTAAAATACTGTATGAATGTCGTGAACATCCAAGTAGACACTTTGTTTTTTCCTCCAGTGGCTTTCTTGGCAGAGAATTAAAAAGGAAAAAAATGGCTGCATGATTTAAGAAAACACTGTGGTGTTTTGGTGATAATAACTTACATTTCTATAATGCTTTCCAGCTTACAGAGTGCTTTCCCATTATTATTTCATTGAATTCTCACAAGTCCCAGAGGTAGGTAAGACAATACTATATTATGGTAAAGGAAATGCTGCCTCTACCACTTACCTACCATGTGGCTCTGTGGGTTATTTAAACGCTCTAAGCTTATTTTCCTAAGGTCTAAAATGGGAGTTGAATCATCCCTTTCTTTTAGGATCGCTGTACAGATTATATGAGCTAATGCATAAACAATACCAGCGACAGAGTAAGTGCTTAATAATTGACAAACTGTTACTATGTTCTTAGGTATAATAATCCTCACTTCACAGATGAGGAAACTAAAAATGACCACCAATTTGCCGAAGATCACACCATTTGTAATTAGCAGAACTGGAATGCAAATCAGATTCTTCTGCCCTCAGCTTTAGTCCTCTTTCCATTACACCTTACCTGAGATGTGCCATCAGGACTGTTTCAGTGCTTCTGCCAGCAAGGTCCCCCACAAGAATGAGCCTCTTACCAGTTTCTCTGATGCACTCATCTTTTCCACATCTGCTTTTGTCTTCACAGAACATCATCAAGAAGGTGATCGGGCAGAAGTTTGTGTATAAATTCGTCTCTTTCCCGGAGATACTGAAAATGGACCCTCACGCGGTGGAGATCAGCCGGGAGAGCCTTTTGCTGCAGGACAGCGAGTGCAAGGCGCCCCCCGAGAGCCGCGAGGCCCACAGACACGGCCTGTCCGCCCTCAAGAGCGCCAGCCGCAACGAGTACATCCACTCGGGCCTGTACTCGTCCTTCACCGTCAACTCCCTGCAGAACCCACCCGAGTCCCTCAAGGCCATCAAGACGGAGAAACTGGAGGAGCCGCCAGAAGACAGCCCTCCCGTGGAAGAAGTCAGGACTGTCATCAGGTTTGTGACCAACAAAACCGACAAGCACATCAGCAGGCCCGTGGTGTCCCTGCCCTCCACATCGGAGGCCTTCCTGGCCTCGTCCGTCTCCGCCAAGATCTCCTCGTTAATGTTGCCAAACGCCGCCGCCAGCATCTCGTCTGCCTCACCCTCCTCCTCTCGGTCCCCGTCCCTGTCCCCGAACTCGCCCCTCCCCTCCGAACACAGAAGCCTCTTCCTGGAGGCCGCCTGCCATGACTCGGATTCCCTAGAGCCCTTGAACCTGTCATCGGGCTCCAAGACCAGGTCTCCATCTCTTCCCCCAAAGGCCAAAAAACCCAAAGGCTTGGAAATCTCCGCGCCCCCGCTGGTGCTCTCCGGCACCGATATCGGCTCCATCGCCCTCAACAGCCCGGCCCTTCCCTCGGGATCCCTCACCCCAGCCTTCTTCACCGCCCAGGTAAGAGCCGCCTCCGTCATCCTGGCCGCCCCCAGACTCAGTGGCTTAGCGGAAGGGAGGAAAGAGAAGCAACTTCCTTCTGCCCCTCAAAGAATAATCCGAGGGTCCCTGTGGCAAAGTCACCGTGTCATCGTGCAGGGAAATTACTTTTCCATGCCCAGGTGGGAGCATACACAAGAGGAAAGGCTTGGGGTGTTGGCTACAGTGGGATGCTTGATTGGTTTCTAGCTTTTAGGGGCCTAAAGCGATCGTTAGATGGAATACACACACTGGCCGTCAAAGCAGATCCAAACAGTGATTTCCTAGGGAAAGCTGAGCAGGCCAGTGACGTTTCAGACGGCGCTTGGGCTTTATGAAAATGTTATGGGAGAATCCTCTCTGGGGGGCCCTTGATAAGTAGCCATTTGTTTTCTGTTAATAAGAAAATAGATGCTAACCAGTACGGCCATTGCAGTCGTCAGTGGGGAGCTGGGTTGTCCTGTAGTCTCTAATAAGAAATGCAGGGGCCACATCAAATGGTGAGAAAGAGAAGCTTCAGTAAAAAAACAGTGCTAGTCTGAGAAAGCCCAGGTCCACAGCATAGGGGAGAGGAAAGCAAACTCGTGGAGCAAGAAAAGTCTTCGGTGCTACTAACTCCAGCATGAAGGTGGCCTTTTCCTCTAAATACGGTATTCAGATGCTCACCCTTGTCCAGCTGGCAGCTGCAGAGCAAAGGCAGAGCAGGTACTGGTAAACCTACTTCTGCTTCCTCTGGAAAACTGGATGCGTTTCAGTGGCAGAGGTTAAGTGCATTGGCTTTGGGGTCACAGACCTGGATTCAGTCCCTGGCTGCACTGCTGGGTAGAAACGTGACTGCGGGGACTTGCTCTCTGAGCCAGTTTCCACATCTGTGCAATGGATTGTTGTGAGGATTAAAGGGGATAATGGCCATGGGAAGAGAGCTGGCTACAACCGGCAGGTTTTAGTATCATGTGACTTTGTGGCACCAGGGTGGGGTTGTGCTTGAGATGGGTAGGAGCTTTCTGTCCCCTGCCTCTGTACCCATCGCTGTAGGTGTCCTTGCTGTCACCATCATTAGTGGCAGCATAACTGAGCTGCTCATGTGTGCCAGGTACCGTTCTAAACACCGTCCATGCACCATCTGTTATTTTTCATCACAGGCCCGTGAAGTGAAGGAGATACTATTATTGTCCCATTTTTCCAACAGAGGTAAATGAGGCACGGAGGTAAAGTAACTCATCCAAGGTCACACAGCTAATAGGCCACAGAGGTGAACTTGAACCCGGTTAGCCCGCTCCAGAAGCCATGCTCTTTAAGTAAAATGCTCTCGGCACGTGCACTGGGAAAATGCCCACTTGTCCCTGATCATGAGATGTCCGTGGAGTCTGCAGAGAGCTGAAAGCAGCTCTTGGGCATTTTCCTCTCCATGGCTTCTCCCAGAAGATTGTGGCCCAGGGATTTCGTGTCGGCTCAGCTTGTGAGCTGGTGGTGACGGCAGGCTGCCGCGGAGGGGAGGGCTAAGGGCTCTGTTACAGGCAGAATGAGCGTGTGTGCTCTTAAGTGGGGCATTTCCTGACCAAGCAAAACTGTCCAGTGACTAAGGACCGCTGAGTAAATGGCTCAGGCACAGAGGCTTCCGATGTCGCTCAGAGAAGTAACTAGGGAAGCGGGCCAGGGGGTGCAATCTGAGGATCCCCTCCCCGGCCTCCTCTGTGTTTCCAGCTGTGAGGTGTAGAGAGGCCTAGAGCCAGGCCCAGGCCAACTCTGATTTCGGTCCCTGCTTTCTCTGTGTATCACCGTCTCTGAACACGTGCCAGCCCTGTAGTTACGTCGGAGGAAAGCGGCTCGGGCTAGCCCTGTGGTTATGGGCCTGGACATGGTGAATTTAGGGAGGCTCCGGGCAGCGGGACTGAGGATGTGTGGCTGGGCCGAGGGGGGAGGCGGACAGTGACACGAGTTAGGGACAGAGGGTGGATGTGGAGGGATGGATGCAAAGCTCAGGAGTGGGAGCTCATCTACTAGAATGGCCTGCCAGCAGGGAGGGGGAATCACGGGAAAGCCAGATGTTTAACAGAGGACCTGTGCCTTAGGGAGGTGTGCGAGGGCGCTTCCCGAGGGGAGAGAGGCACAGGGCAGGGTCTGGACTAGGACAGGAGAGGGGAAGTGGCAGCCTGGGCCGAGGGAGGGGCTTTGGATCAGGTGTGAGGGGGTGGCGTTGGGGGCTAGGTAGTGTCTGAAGCCATTCAGAGCTAAAGGAGTCAACGGCTACCCTTGGGAGATGGCGGAGTCTCAGGACTTGAGATCCCTTCACCTTCCAGCGGGCTCAGCTCTGCACCTGGAGCGCCTGTGGCTGACAGGGAGGGAGAGGAGAGGCCAGGAGGGAGAAACCAGAGAGAGCAGAGGAAGGGCAGGACTCAGGGGTGGGGTGTTCCCCCAGGTGGGTTCTCTGAGAGCAGACAGGAGAGTCAAGTGGTTTCATCTCGACTTGACAAGCCTTGAGTCTTTTAGGATTTCGGGGAAGGCTCGAGTCAGTGTAGGATTTGGATTCTCAGAGAACAGGAGCTGTTTCAGGTGCCCCAGAAACTAACCCACCAGCCCCTGGTTCTCCTTCCAGTGCACAAACAGCATCGGCTCCCTCAGCAGTTCTCCTGAAGTCCACTGGGCCTCAAACTGAGGGGTGAGCCCATCTCCCTGAAATCGCCCCCAGGCACGGGAGCCAAGGACTCCTGTTGGCCCCCAGGTCAACTCTGGGGGGTTCCTCTCTACCCAAGGGAGCGTGGGGTGTTTCTCTCACAGGCAGCAGTGGCGCCTCACTCCGTGGCTCACTGGCTTCTCTCCTCCCTTAGCACTTTCTCTCACAGAAACTGTACTTTCTGTGGGGTGTGCAGTGTGTACGCAGAAACATTTGGTTACCTGTGGGGACCGCCTATCGACTTTCTTCGTGGCTAGCTTTAAGAGAGATAAAAGTGTGCTGTAATAATTTGATACCCTGAAAATGAAGTTCCCAAGAACTTGTATTTATTCCAAGAATGATTTATATTTTATTGATTCATTTATTCCAAGAATAATTCCCAGTTAGTTTCAGCTAGAAGCATGGCAGGAGGAAGGGTAGGATTAAGCATGTCTCGGCCTGCTTAGGGTCATGTGGTTACAAGGCCCTCCAAGGAAGGACCTTATTAAACCACATACCTCGTGTAGGCCCAAATTCAGATTTGAAATTTCAAGCTACAGCATGACGGGCATGAAAAAGCATCGGCATTCTGCCACTCCCCCAACATCATAACCGCCACTCCCACCAAGAATACTGGTGGCGCATCTGCTGGCACCCATACAAAATGCAGTTGAGATTAGTCTCATGAGTCTTTGAGAAACGATTACAAATGTAGACAGACACGATGATCACCACGAGGCAGCCCCAGCGTGGACTGTGAGAAACTGAGAAAATGAAAATACAAAAGCCAGCTGGCACCAAGGAGTGAGGTAGTTGGAGCTTAGCCACCGAGGTCATATTGGGCTGTTGCTAGAAAAACAAGAATGTTATCTCTGATGGCATGAGCTACAGAAATTGAGATGGGGGTGGGGGGAGGAGCCAGGATGTGAAACCCTCCTGGTTTCCAGCCAGGCACCATGGAAGCCCAGATGGTGCCAGCTGGAACTTCTGATTCTCTGTAATCTTCTGCATCTGGGTGTCACCTCTCCCTCTTCCTTCCATTTGCCTCTTCTGTTAGGTCTCTCCCTCCTCCTGTCTTACCCATGTAAAGTTAGTTCAGAGTCGGAGGTTGGCTCATTGCACGTCCCTCCATTTATGCCAAGACCTCTGTTCATCCCACACGTGATGTCTAAGATGTTGAACTCAGATACGTGCGGGCACCAGGGCGTGAACTCACATCAGAGTCTGCGCATGCATGCCCCGGGCTGTTTTATTAGTAGCGGCTTTGGGTTAACACTAACTGAGTAGAGACAGCTTGTTGAGGACTGAAATGCTAAAACCTCCTTCCTGCATTTACTGATGGATGTGACAACCTTGAGCCCAGATCGTAAGGTGGGAATTGGGAGTAAAATGGATGCGCGCGTGGTGAGGGGCCGTTGGGTAGACTGCCTCCTGGCTCAGCTCCGGAGTGGTTTCCATCTTATTGTCTCTTTCGCCATGATCACAAAAGGAAGTAAGTTTGGTTTTTTTCCCTTCATCCCACTCCGTAACACTGCCCTAGCTCAGCCTGCAGCTTTCTCCGTACTGGCCCTACAGCAGAAGGATGTCCTTTTAGGGGCTGTGTTCAGTGGAGGATGTCATTGGTAGATTTTGGGTGACTTGACCCTCCAGCTGAAAGTTCTTGCTTCCCCCAGCTCTGGATTGCCTAAGATGAACAAAGTGTGATCGTCGCTCTCCCTCTTTCCACCCTGGGGCCCGTCTTTTCTGTAGCTCCTTTGTGGATCTGCCGACTTCTCCCCAGTTCTACCCTTATTCTGTTTTCCCCCCTAACTCTTACTGTAGCTCCCCTGGACCAATAGGGAATTCTCCTCTTTGTCCTCTTT